ATCGTTATTGCTTTGTATAGGCCTCCTTCTGGAAATTTTAACCTATTCTTAGATCTTTTAGCGGATATGCTATCCATAATTCCCTATAACAAAACAATTATTATTGTTACAGGCGATTTTAATGTAGACTTCTTGAATGACTCCCCAGATAAAAAGTACTTATTAGATTTATTAATGACCTTCAATTTAGTTCATACTATATCTGAACCGACTCGGAATGCCTACCTTGACAACATTTTCATCTCTGGAGACACCCCCAGGTATTACACACAAGTGTTAAATCTTAGTCTAGGTGACCATCATGCACAAAAGATAGGTATTTCCAAAAATAGTTCCTCCAATCAAAATAAAAAACCACCTCACTACAAATCTATACATAATTTTAAAAAAGAAAATATCAACATTTTTACGATGCACTAAAAAATCAGGACTGGTCCCCATTATATGATGTAACTGACACTGAAGCAGCTTTTAATTTTTTCTTGTCAATCTTTAACAGACTTTTCGACTTATTCATCATTCTTTCTCAATAAAACAAATTAAATGCACATCCAAGGAACATAAAACAAAATGGATTACACCAGAAGTTCGTAATTTAAAAAAAACTATTTCCTATATGCTGATCTTAGTAAACATTTTCCCATTTTTAAAGATCAATTCAAAAAAATAAATAAAGAATATCAAGAGATGTTAATAAAATCAAAGCAAAATTACAACGAACACAGGTTACTCACATCTTCTAACAAAAACAAAACAATGTGGGAGATTATTAGAGAATCTTCAAATAAAGTAAAAACAAGGCGTGAAATACGAATCTCTGAAAATGGACATGTCTTAACTGATCTAGCTTGTGCTAATCTTTTCAATAAATATTTCTCAGTATTGACTCTAAATATAATTGAGGATAACACAGTAAATAACTCCGAGTTTCTACTTAATAACATTGCTTTATCGCCTTATAATTTAATTTTTTACCAGTCACAGGTTCTGACATTCTTTAGATCACACACAAATTGAAGAACTCTTAATCTGCTGGACATGACGAAATACCTAATAGCGTCTTTACAAAAGTGGGAAAAACAATTTGCGAACCCATAGCACACATTATCAATTTGTCGTTATTAAATGGTCATTTTCCCAACTCCCTAAAAAATAGGTGACGACCAACTAATCACCAATTATAGACCTATTAGTATTTTATGCAGTCTATCTAAAATTTTTGAACACGTTATTAATAATGGTATTACATCTTTTTTCACAACACATCAGTTAATAGATCCTTCGCAGCATGGCTTCACAAAGGGAAAAAATTTAGACACAGCATTGGCAGCTTATCTTTGTATAATCTCTACTTGTATAAACAAACACATTCCCTGTCTGGGATTATCCATCGACTTCACGAATGCCTTTGATTGTGTAAGTCATTCCCTATTACTCAAAACATTAGAACGATACGGTGTAAGAGGTGTGGCCTTACAGCTGTTTAGGTCCTATCTATCCAGCAGTGGCGGCTTGTCCATAAGGTCGTTGGGACAATGCCCCCCCAAATATTTTTACGAATAAAAAACATAATTTTTTTATTACATATTACTCCATTTATTATTTGATAATTTATTTTTGATGATTTTTACCCTAAGCGAGGAGTAGATCCCGTCCACGTCCAAGCGCGATATGTTAACTCCGCAAAGAGACCGAGGTTTCCGTGCAGTCGGATTTCAGATTCGACTCTACAGTCGCTTATGGAGGCTGATAGCATATATGGAAACTGCATTTACGGAAGACAGAGATAGCCTTTAGCGCGATTCAACATAGCAGACAAGGTACAGAATATCTTCGGCATACCTACAATGGTGTCGACGGCCCAAGACTGTCGCACGCTTCCGATTTCGTACCAACACCACTAACCGATTAATTATCACAGTAGAACAGTGTTTTTGTTAGATGTATTTTCTAAACATGGTCGGAAAGGTAATTTTGTGCTGAACAACCCTCAAAAGAGATAATATACATATGTCGTCAAACAAAAATTATTCGAATTTTTATTGTCGTCCGGTGAACAATTAGAAAAATGAAGTGAATTCTAATTTTACATAGAAAAACGCGCAAGAAGCACTAAAAAATTGTTCCACAGATTTCTTTCGACAGATATTTAATTACGTCTACGATTAGATAACCTGCTTAGAATATGTAGAGGATCTAACTCTTTATAAAAGCCTCAGATATTCGGAAAGAATGGATACTTGGGACTTTGTCTTAAATCTTTCTTCAACTTTCTTGATTTCTCGATGAAAAGATTATCAGCAAAGAAATTTAAATGGGACATAATTTGTGGAACGTTTGTTTCCTAAAAATTCACTGATCACTAAGCTAATTGATTCCCAAGTAAATTTTTCCTTATCATTCAAATATGCGTAGAACATTTGATCCTTCATTCGAATTTCAGGCCCAATGAAAATTCCTAAATATAGAAAACGACATAATATGAAAAGTGAAATTCACTGTAATATTTTAGTTTTTACCTTGGTTTATGTTAGCAGCAGAAAGCTTAGGAAATATTGTTTTCAGATGTTGAAATGCTTTCTCTCTTGAATTTCACTTGCATAAGAAGCACATATGCTTGGTATATCCAGATTGGAAGCCAGTTACTAAAGTTACTAACAGTTAATACAGTTTAACAAGTGTTGAATATTCTCATATGTTTCTGCAGTTTGTATGGAGTATGCAGTCGGCAGTACTAGATATTTATTCCCATTATGCAGTAGTACACCTTTAACTGGAACTACCTATGAAGAACAATCTCCAAAAAAAAATTTTTTTTGACGATGTAGGCATAATGTCTTATTAGATAGTTATTCAGCACAAAATAACCTTTCAGAATACATTTTCAGAATGCTTGTAACAAGAAATTTTTCTAAAATTGTTCGACTGTGTTATAATTACGAACTAGCAAAACAGCATTTCCAGGAATTATCACATACATTGATTTTGTTTTTTGTTGTGCTGCAATAGCAGTCTGTAGTTGGAACATTTTATAAGCAGTGCAACTTAGCGTCAACTTTTTTAAATCTTATTTGACCCCCCAACCTCTAGAATCACGAGCCGCCACTGCTATCCAGCAGAATATAAAAAGTATTCGGCTTGCAAACGAACTATAGGTGGCGCGCGACACAACAACAACAATGGAGACCGAAAAGGAGATAAACGTTTGAGTGTCATATGTGTACGTTGTGAAAAATAGTGTTTGTGGCTTAAAATTGAGTTGTTTTATTGGTGTATATTATTTATTTCTGTGAAAAATGGACCCTAAACGCCGAAACAAAAGTAATAAATACTGCTGCGTGCCCATGTGCACGACGTATTACTCTAGCAATATTTCGTTCCACAAATTCCCAACGTTAAACAAGTTATTGCGACAAAAATGGATTAATGCCTTAAAAATAGGAAAGGAAGTTAGCCAACATATGGTAGTCTGTAGCAAACATTTTCGTGATGAAGACTATTTTTTAAATAGACGTAAGAATAACATAACCTCTATATTTGGTCTGGTTATTTAATTATTTAAAATATATTCTTAGGTTATCAATGTAAACTACAGAGACTAAAACCAAATGCAGTGCCTTCGGAAAATCTTCCAAAAAGAAGACATGACAGAGAAATCAATGAAAATTTGATTTTTCAGAGGCAACAAAGATCTGAAAATCGTAAAAAGTGAGTATAAAATAATAATGCTGACGAATAGGTAATTACTAGTCAGCACATCCCCTTTGTAGGAATAAAGAAATTAAAAGTATGCAACAGCAAGAAAACGAATTTCGAGATCATGAGGGGTCTGTCGAAACAATGAATATTATTTCTATGTATGTATCTGTTCATGATATTTAAATCTTTTTGAGCTTATTTTCCTAGAACACATGATCAAGATGAAGTGGACGTTGCGGAAGTTTTAACATCCTGGGGTCACAGTAATGCTCCTACTAATGTTAAAGAATATGCAGATAAAGGTGTACAAGTAAATACGTACGAGGAATTCAATCAATTTGATGTATCAGACATAATAAATACTGATTACAAACTTCGAATCTTGACTGGCATACAAAGTCTTGCTTTTCTTAATTTATTAACATCAACTTTAGCGCAACACATGAAAATCAAATCAAAACTAAATATAAAAAAATTGATACTTCTATCATTAATGAGATTGAAATTAGATGTACCATTTACTTCTTTAAGCATATTCTTTAATGTTAGCCATACAACAGCTCAAACATATTTTCAGCGCATAATAACTAATTTGGCTTTTTGTTTAAAAAGTGTAATTAGATTTCCTAGCCAACAAGAAATAAAAAGGAGCATGCCAATTTGTTTTCAAAATTATTCTAATACTAGAATTGTACTCGATTGTACTGAATTAGAAATAGAAAAATGTAAATGTCTAAAATGCAGAATCAGAACATACTCATTTTACAAAGGTAGACATACAGTAAAATTTTTAATTGGTGTAGCTCCTTCAGGAACTATAACATATTTAAGTAAACCTTACGGTGGTAGGGCGTCTGACAAAGCCATATTCAACAAGGAAAATATGATTTCAAAATTTTCTCCAGGTGATGGGATTATGGTAGATAAAGGGTTTTTAATCGATAAAGAATGTGCTAACAAAGGAATACAACTGATACGTCCACCGTTTTTAAAAAAGAAAAAACAACTAACAAAGGCGGAAGCATTAAGGACTGCAGAAATAGCCAGAGCGAGAGTGCACGTAGAACGAGCTATCCAGCGAATAAAAAAATTTAAAATTTGTCGAAATATATTGCCATTTAAATTATTAAGAAATATTAACAGTATTGTTATTGTGATAGTAGCTTTAACAAATTTGTCAAGTCCAATTTTATCTGTTGATAAATTTTAAGTTTTTCTTGTAATTATGTATTGTTCTATATTAGAAAAATAACATTTTGATTTTTGATAAGTTTTTTATTATTTTTTTTTAAAGTGGTTCACACAATACATGCAACATATTTTGAAAGAAAACACTTTTCAATTTTTTCAAGAGATCATTGCAAAATATTTCGTCCCGATCTATATTTAGCAAATAAAAAGATCTGTCAAAACTTGAATAAATGATGAAATCGCAACCTAGTAAATTTAAAATTGCCAAGGACAATTGTATTTGGGCCATATACCCATGCCGTCTCTTCAATGTCCAGCCTTCCCCCTCTGAAAATTCCATGTACTCCAATGATGGAAGACATTCAGTAATGGTTTTTTTTGCACCTATAAAAACAAGTTTTCATAAAATTTTTCAGTTACAAGTTCGCTTGGTTCACCTAAAACAGGACACTTAATTTCTAATAAACGAATTGGTCGTTTATCCCGAAACACAATGCCATCAGGAGAACAGGCCAACCATGGATTCTTTTGGCACACAATCAGCCCACACTGGATTACAGTTTCGGCACTTGGGAGATTGGTCATATATGCTTGCCGGGCAAAATCTTCTTGGTTGTTGCCATATCTTGTGGCATAGGTTCCCTTAAATGATTTGGGATAAAAATATTTCACGGCTTTGGTATGCCAGTCACCCTGACTGTATGTAAATAAGGTGTAACATCTTGAACCTGTAACATCATGTTAAATAAGCTCATAAAAATTATGAAAACAAACCGGTTATTCTATACTGTCGTTCTTGCATCCATGTGGCTTTGCTTTTAAATGTGTCTTTACAAATTTCAAATCCGTCGCATGGATACAATTTGTTGTAGGTGGCTACACAACACCTCCGTAAGGGAGCATCTAGATTAACCTGGTATATTACCTCACTCAATTCGCTCCGATAAGCATTGTCGCAAATTGCACTGAAGAGATCATCCCTGCAAAAGAAAAAAAAACAGCAGCAGCAAAAACTTTTAAATAAAGATGTGTTTATATCATTAACAATTGCTAAGGCTTGATGATGCCATTTATAACAATTATTTGATACAACCTAGACCTATCTTCAGGATTAATAGTCCCCTTGAACAGCATGGCAGCTCCAGAATTCGGGAGAACTATTACAAAAAAATAAATGATAATACAAAATCAATTTATATAATTTGATGTCTACCTTCAAAGCACTTTTGTACGAAATCTTCTGGAATAATTCCTGCCATATCACATTTGGAATGCTCCGATGACTTAACATGGCAAAATTGTTCCACAGGAACAACTTCTACTAGTTCTTCCCGCTTCCGTTTGCCCCATGCCTGGGGAACATCGGTGCAACTAAGTAGGCCTATACTCTGAGCACTAAAATTATAATGAAATGTTTATGATTTCAACAAGAAACGGTGCAGCTTACTTGTAAACATACAGTAGGGTGGCAACTATGTGCTTACATTTCCCTCCTGCTCCTGCTTTGCAGCTGCAGACACAGTTCCACTGTCTGTAATCTGATAAGACAATCCATTATTAGGTCTATATTAACATATTTTCAGAATGTCACATCACCTGAATAATCTGCAAATTGAATTTGAATTTCGTGAGGTGCTGCACTAATTTTTGAGGCTATGCACCGTGCTTCGATGTTTTGTCCCTCAAAAGTGCAATTGCCGATTAAGCCAGCCACATACAGTGCTTCTCCTTGTTCAAGGGGCCGCGTTTTTCGATCAACACACGCATTGTCTTGTATGTAACTGTATATGTTACTGATCGAAATCAACATATTTACAACTCAAACTAATAATAAGTACAAAAGAACACAAGCAACACGAAACGAAAGGGAAATTGTCTTAAAACACTCTAAACAACAATGAATCGCACAATAAAAAACAACACTAAACACAACTAAACACTATTAAACACAACTAAAAAGCACTAAAAAGCATTAAACACAAAATAAACACCACGCACGAGTCAGAGCTATCTCCCTCTGGAGGGTTCACATTCTTTCCGCTACGTGGCGCGTCGATATCCCGGTCAGCCGAATTGGTAAAGAACACCCTTTCGGCAGAAGTAGGCATCACTGTAGGAGTGCCACAAGGATCTATTCTTGGTCCTATTCTCTTGATAATTTTCATTAATGACTTATTATATTATTACTCATGAAAAAGTCTTTTAATTGCTCAGTAATGTCTAGAGAGATGCAAAAATAGTTCAAGGACGCGGTTATAACTCCCACTCCTCATTATCATTGCCACTTCAGTGTCGCGCGGCGAAATGCAAGATTTAACATACATATCAGTGGTTTATTGCTTTTATTATATATATATATATAATAACTAATAACCATCGGCTCCACGTAGCAATACACGGATGAGATGTAGATTATTTTATAATAGCTGCAACGGCAAAATGCGATGCCTGCTATCCCAATCACCAATATTAAAATGACCGAACATGCACCGACGGGCGAAGCGAAGCAATAACAGCGGACGCTGCTGACGGAAAGTGGCGGGAGGCGCATGGCCTAAAACTGCATCTCCTTAGTAATGTCATATGCTGACGACATTATTTTCATTATCACAGGTGGCGGTACCACTGAAGTCATTAATAAGGAGACAAATGTTTACACTTTGGCACAAAAATGGGTCACAGAAAACAAACTGTGTATTAACCACGAGAAAATGGCATTTACTTTTTTCACCATTACCGTAAGTTGTGCTGAATTCACACTCAATGTAAATAATATAACCATTGCGTGTTCGTCGTCTATCAAACTAGTGGGTATCTCCTTCGATAACCACCTAAAATGGTTTTCATATCGCACTGTGAGAACAATACTCAGGTAAGTCAATTCTTAAATTTATCATTAATGCATAAAAAAGTTAATGTAGTTTTAGTATATGTAAGTATAAACGGTTTTTAATAATTGTGTAATGCTCAAAATCATCAAAATGTTTGTATTGCATTTTCGAACATTACGTGTGCACTTAATGCAAGACTGCCGTATCTCAAAACTAAGTGAAATGCAAGTAAGCTGTGAAGCTATGAGATTTCAGTCGATGTTGATAATGGATACTCCTACTAATTTAGGTACAAATTGAAAACAACAAATGCACAATGTATGTCTTCTGATATAGTTAAGAATTGATCGAAAACATGGAAATCAATTTTTCTTTGAATAGGAAAAGTAGGAAAGTTAATTAGAGCGAAATAAAAAATTTAAAATTTGTAAAACAGTCCGATGGAATTTTGTAGCTTCGTATAGAAAGGAAGTATATCAGGAAATAATAGTCAATCAATTCTCGAACATCACGACAACGGCGGCATTAGACTTAAATGAAAATGATTAAACAATATTTATGAAAGTCCTTTAGCAATACGTAAAAAAATACGATGGACTGAATCCATTATGTATAAAAAAACGAATTAAATAAAATTATAACACATTTTATAACAATTTAGCCATATTACACTGACCGGCAAAAAAAAACCGGCCACCCTTAAAAGTTTCGCAAAACGAATCTTTAAAAATTATTAATTTAACTAGTGATCGTTATTTTATTAAAGAACCATTCACTATTGACATATAAGGTATAAATTAGCAAAAAAAAAAAGAAGCAGAATTAAACGCAGAATTAAATTTAATTTAACAAAATAACAGAAACAGAGCAACACTTTGAAAGACGTCTATAACAGTTAACGGAATTATTTTCGCGTGAAAACGTTTATTAATTGCCAAACTTATAATCCAATGATGAAAAACACTATTTACAACAACAGCCTCCTTTATTGTTTTTTTTTTTTAAGAAAATATCGTACTTGGTCTGTTTCCGTTATTTTGTTAAATTAAATTTAATTCTGCGTTTAATTGTCTTCTTTTTTGTGCTAATTTGTACATCATGTGTCAATAGTGAATGATTGTTTAATAAAATAACGATCACTAGTTATATTAATAAGTTTTAAATTGGTTTTGCGAAATTTTTCAGGGTGGTCGGTTTTTTTGCCGGTCATTGTAGATGTTGAATGAATTAATACTGTGATCGTTTTGTGTTTTGTTACATTTTTTCATTACAATGCGTTGCTAGTTTGCTCTTGTCTTAAATTTATTAACACGCAAGCCAAAATATTTGATATGGTGTACCAGTGCAATAGTCACGTAAGTCAAAATTTCTTGTTTTCTATAACGAGTAGAAGATTCTACTCTAAAGGAATAAAAACACGATTAATAGGTAATAAATTGACAATACGACTATAATGTATTTCGAAGCCTTTGGTATTTAAGATACAAATAATATATAAAAACTTGGGAATTTTAAATCATCATTACTCAAAACAAGCTGGTTTTGAGTTACGCGAGTATTGCTCTCACAGTGCAAGTCTTCTAAATTAGCGTTTGTCTGCTATGCTCTCAAAAACATAATGAGACAATGTAACTTCTCTACGGCAAAGCAACTTTATTTTGCTAACTTGCAGAGTCTTCTAAAGTACGGTATTACGCACTGGGGCCTTTCTCCTGAATTTAACCGTGTATTCATATTACAAAAAAGGGCAGTAAGAATTTTAGGGAGCCTAAAATACCGACGCTCTTGTAAATCAACTTTTCAACAACACGGAATCCTGACGCTGCCAAGCTTATAAATATGTGAAATTTTATCATACACATACAAAAACATAAACAACTTCAAAAATAATAGAACAGAACACGAACATAATACAAGACACAAGGATTTGTTGTTACCAAGACAGCACAAGACAGCTCACTATCAGAGAAGTTTGCATTTTAATTGCTGCAAATTTTTTAACAGTTTTGACTGCGACATTAAAAATGCGTCTAATTTTCTTGTCTTTAAATCTAAAATAAAAAAATTTCTATAAAAAAAAAATTATTACGCAATTAGCGAATTTCTAACATATCATATCCGCTATATTTTATTAAATGTATAAGTTTCTAATGTACTGTACCTTTATGTTAATTGTTTTCCTTTGACAATTCTTTCTTAAATCTATTACAATTGTTGTGTGGATTTTCTGAAAGTTAATAAATTATTATTATTAATATTATTATTAATCTCCGAAAGTACTAGACCGATTGTTATGAAATTTTGTATTTATATTAGGAATATCATGTAGATGGTAAAACGCTAACCAAAATTTGCCTAATCATCCCCACCAATAATGTGATGACGTGACTTCCAATTTGTACATAGTAAATAGGTTTTAAATTGTAAAAAATAACATTGTTCTACACATGTAGTTTATGACTTCGAATTGAGTTTTTACCCGAAATATCCAGATTTTTTGAAAAAAAATCAAAATTATGAAACGACATTTTGCAATTTAATTTCTAATCTGCAAAAGCGAGTGCTCTGAAATCTTGCAGATGATTTACAGTTATGATAAGCATAGTAAATTTTTATTCAAAATATATTTACTTGTCCCCTTCAAAAAATTGATGACGTCACCTCAAAAGTTTGCCGACTAAATTCTATCTAAAATGTATAAAATATGATGAGTCTGTACTTGTGATTTACCATTCCATTGATATTTTTTTAATTTGCATATAAGGGCGACTCAAAAGAATTAATGAATGGGTGAATTTATTTAATTGTTTCACAGTTATCATAGGCATGGTAAATTTTTAGTCAAAATATATTTCCTCATCCCTCCCTAAAAAATTGATGACGTCACCTCAAAATTTTGCTGAATAAATCCTTTCTTAAATGTGCAAAATATGATGAGTTTTTACTTGTGATTTATCACTGCGTTAATATTATTTAGATTTGATTATACAGGGTGTCTCAATGTGATGTATTTAATTAATTAAATCAAGAATTGCAAAACTAAATACTTTGAAATATTGCAGACGTTTTGAACTTGTTGTAAGAATGGTAACTTTTTAATAAAAGTGTATATTATTATTATTATCTAAGGAAGTACATTTATTTATTATTATTATTAATTTTGATCGACCTCTTCACTTGAAATCGTAATTCTAAGGTGTGTTGCTGTATTGGGGGTTTTCCTCGAGCAAGTTGGGTGTTTCTATGACTGTATTTGGTATATTCGGCCGTTTACAGTGATTATATAATTGTCGTAAAAATTTCAGTACGAAATAGAGACAGAATAGGCCGAAAATACCACATAAGGCATAGAACAAGATATCATGACAGATGCGATTCTGACTATCATATCCTCGTACCGGTTGGGACAGTGACGCTAATAACATTATATTATTGTATTTGTACAGAAGGTAGAGTAGCAAGACACTAATGCATAAATTCCAAACTACCAAAATCTAAAAACTATGTGTCCCATAACTATCTGCGAAGGATACACTCGTCTATAGGTCTTCCTGGGGAAACGATTGTAGTAGGTCCTGGATAAGTTGATTGGGGGATGTTAAGTTCAGATGGGGGATAGTTAGTGACCAATTGTGGTTTATGCATTCCGATAAGTTATTGTATGTGGGTAGAAAATGGGTGTGGATTGGATTAAGGACGAAGGATTTTAGTGTCGACCAGGATGCAGGAATTATATGGTTAATGTACGATACTGGGGGCATCTCGTCTGAGCATGGAAACCTAACGGGTATGATTATCTCTTGCTTATAGTTAAGAGAACATTGACAGGGAAGTTTGAGTTTCAATGCTCCGAGCAGATTATGAGACGAAGGCAAGGTTTTATTTTCGCCGGGACATTTAATATATGATCTTACCTTTAGTTTTGTAACGAAGCGAATTTTCGCGGGCCGGAAACCGTGACGTGTACCGCGAGAACCGGGGGTAAATTCGCGATCGCCGCGCCGCCGCGGCGGAAGAAGAGGACTCTTGCCTAAAACTCCAAAGAGTGCGGGAGTCTGTGGCTGCTGTTTTGTGTGGAGAAGTTTCGTTTGAGAAGTCTGCAGTTGACCTTCCGACCCACCGTAAGTACTTTTTGGGTCATCTGCGCGTGTTTGTACCGGTTTTAGAATAGCCGCGCCCTAGCGAG